AAAGTCAAGGTTGGAATATGCCTGTGCACAGATGAGGGGAGGAGGCAACTGAGACCAACGCTTCTATGATTTGTCTTCCTCAGGTCACTCAGCAGTTTTAAATGGGGTTTAACTGGTCAGTGCCCCCTCCAGTACTCCTTTGGAGCACTGCCCAAGGCTCCTGTGGGCTCAGGCCACCCACCTTCCCAGATCCACATTCTCTGTACGGTTGGATCTGCTGCTCATCCTCCTGGCTTCTCCCAGAGCCCAGAAGTGCTGGCAGGAGGAGCAGAGCACTACCATCTCATTTACGATTTCCCAGCATCGTTCAAGCTCCTTCCCCGCCATTCCCCAGGCAGAGGCCAAGAGCAGAGCCACTCCCAAAGCCACAGGGTCGGGAGCAGGTGGCAGTGGCCCATGCACGGCCTGTGGGTTTGGCTCCCTCTGCTCTGGAGGGGCATCATCTGGCAGGAAACTGCCAGTAAAGCTGTCCTTGAGCAGCAGAGCAAGTTAATAGGAAAAAACGGTTGAGACTAACATCATCATCTTTAAGTGAGAAAAAACTGCTGTAACATTTTCCTTAGTTTTCCTATCCATTATAATTCTCAATTTAAAAGAAACAAGGAAAGTCAAATGCACATGCTTTAAAACACAGCAAAAGTTGAACAAGCCTTTGTATAATTAAGGTGGTGAATGGAGGGAAGCAGCAGTATCAGAGACGTTTCCCTGGCCTGAGAACAGCTCAAAAAAAGTCAGAGTGAAGGAATCCAGAATCTGATCAATGCTACCACTGATCTCTACTGACAGATCTGCAACGATACATTGTGTGCACTCCAGCACTAGGTATGAAGTAGGACTACAAACACCAACATCCCTAACTTGGTGTTCAAAGCATCATAGCACTGAAAGTGAAGGTCATGGTGGGGATTGAACTGGTCATTGTTACACCTTTGAGTATTTGTGCTCCTTTAAGTTTAACTCTGGTCAACCATCCCCCTTTCTATTACATCTGCAGGAGTATGTATTGCTGACAAAAACTTGAAATTCTCTGTCTAAACAGCTTTTTCTCTGGGTACTCCAACATATTTTATGGCAAATTTTAATTACTGAACTCTAATAGATAACCCACATTATCTTAATTGAAAGAGCAAACATTAATCAAATTTCACATATGGAATGATTCTTCCTTATATGTAGAAATTAATGGATGAAACATTAGTAAAGAAAATATACTCTGCTTTTGAAAACAGAGAAATCTGAATGGACAGCAACCGAAAAGCCTCTTAAAAACAAAACGCTACCAGCTTCATCCAATATTCTTGTTTAAGAAGCAAAGTGATGAAGGGGAGAGAAATGCTGCGAATCACCGACACAGAGAGGCTGGAGTGGGAGGTCTCTCAGGCCCAAGAATATTTCTGGTTGTCAGAGGCTAAAAAGATTATTTATTGTTTCCTTCCTAAACCCAGCTCCACTGCCACCTGTTCAGAATTTACTATAAAGCTGTTAAACAAGACGAGAACTTTGATGCTGACTGTGAAAACAAGTTTCACTGTATCTGACCCGAGCAGCACTCACTGCTGATCCAGAAGCAAAGGAATTTGATTTTTTTCTTTAAGCACAGCTATCTTTTTACCTTTATAAGCTGTTTAAAAAATGTAAATAAAATAACTCAGTGGACAATAGAGGGCATTCATCCCCCAGAAAGACAGCCGCCACCCTTAGACATGAAATATCGCAGCACATTAAGTCATGAGACCCCGCTAATCAAAGCTGACAGGGCCCTGAATGTGATTTCTGCTGAGACTTAGCGATATCATGGGGCACTGAAGCATGCACAGCCTGCCAGACTGCCCCTGTTCATGTGACAATGGCTTTTATTCCCCAAAGGGGCCTGCGAGTGACAAGAGTCCCCTTTGTCTCTGGGCTCCCGCATTCGCAGTGCAAGAGAGGTTCATTCAACCAGCCCCAGACACTCTTTGAAAGGCTGAAGTGTAACATAAGATGACCATGAAACACTAGCTTGCCTTCTGCCTACCCCTCATTCTTCTCCAGCACAGCCTGGCCTATTCAGGGCCTCTCGCAGCCCCGCTCGCGCTGCATTACCCCCGGTCTGCTGAATCCCCGCATTGTCCCGGCCCCGCACCCAGAGCCCTTCCCACACCACAGCCCCCAGCACCCAGAGCCCTTCCCACACCACATCTCCCAGCACCCATCACTCTTCCCACACCATGTTCCCCCAAAGCCCTCCCACACCATATCCTCCTGGCAGCACGGCTGGGCTCTGGCACCACTGGCTGAGGGCAGCACGGAGCCACGGCTGGCTTTGGAGGGATTCTAGGAAGGGGACAAAGCTGCTACACTTCACCTGGAACTCCCTGAGTGGGAATGCTAAACCCTCCCATCTCCCCACACTGTGGGGGCCATGATGGGCAGAGCTGGGAGCCCCTCACTCTGCTCCCAGTGCCTGGCGCTCCTCCAGCAGCTGCTCACTCCACTCACAACAGGAGGAATAAACCCCCAAAACAGCCCAGACACCTCAAACCCCCACTTACACGTCTCTGCTTTTTCCCAAGCCGCCGTACCCGCTGTTTTCCTGCATCCCGGGAGCACTAGTGCCATCCACTGGCCCAGCAGGTGCCTCCTCACCACAGCCGGAGCTGCCAAACCAGCACCGAGTCACTCCACCCGCGCCATCGTCCTGGGCCTGGCACCGCCTGGGCACGGCTGGGCACCCCCCTGACCCCTGTCCCACCACTGCCCTCCCACAGTGCCCTGAGCCTGCTCAGCCTCCCGCCAGCTCCACTAAAACCAGGCGCAAGGGAGGGCTGGATTCACTTCAGAAACAAATAACTGCCACGGCCATGCCCAGGGAGCTCTGGGATCTCATTTGCCAAAGGAAACTTTCTCCAAAACCTCCATGAGGGAAGGGAGCCTTAACCCTCTGGGCAGAGATCCATGGTTGGCAAACCACAGACAAAGGGAATAATCTTCCCTAAAATAAGTCCTGGAATCACAGACTGGTTTGGGTTGGAAGCTCATCTCATCCCACCCCCTGCCATGGGCAGGGACACCTTCCACTAGCCCAGGTTGCTCCAGGCCCCGTCCAACCTGGCCTTGGACACTTCCAGGGATGGGGCAGCCACAGCTTCTCTGGGCAACCTGTGCCAGGGCCTCACCACCCTCACAGGGAGGAATTTCCTCCCAACAACTAATTTACATTTCTCCTCTTTTAGTTTAAAACATTGCCCCTTGTCCTATCACTTTCTGCCTGTGCAAAGGTCTCCCTTACTCTTTTTTATAAGCCCCTTTTAAGTACTGAACTGTAAAACACCCAGTGTCTTATTGCAAAAACAGCATGAAAATAAATAATGGCAGTCAGGATTTGCATAGGTTTCTGTCCTTTCAGGTGAGAGACTGAAGAGCCAAAAATCCTACATGTGAATCTGCTTCACTGCTCCAGCTGAGAGATGAGGAATAGCAGGATGGACAGACACCCTCAGCCCACTGCAATGCTCAGAGCCTGAGCTCCAGGTTGTTTGGGGTTATTTGTTGTGAACTGAGGTATGTTCAGTCCCCAAGGGCAGTAAAAGATTTCCTGTTATTTTTGAAGATATTTCTATTCATCCGTCTGGTAACAAAACAAAACTAGAAGAAAGTTATGGCTGAGAGCGAGAAGCTGTTGAGGTTTCCTGTTCTTCACACTGGGAATGAGCAGCAAATGAGCTCTGCTGAGGAAGAAAGAACAGAAAAACAATTCCACAAAAAAAATTTACAGCTTTCCAAAACCAGATCTAGAAAGAACTGTGTTTCTCATGAAAACAACAAATATCTTTGGAGCCATGAACTTAAAAATCCCACTTGAATATAGTCAAATAGGACAATATTGTTACAACTGTCAAACACATTCAAAAACTTTTTGAGCAAAAGAGTGAGTCTCCAGCAGCTACCTGGGAATTTTGAACCAAATACAAAATATCTTTGTTTCAGTATTCGAAGAAATCAACATGAATGGAATTCCAGGATCTCACTTGGGATTTCAGCTTTACAGAAGAACAGGATTTTTAATACTGCTACTTGAGATTTTCCTTTTGCTAAACAAGATCAAGCTGTTCTACACTATCCAAGTGAACCACCTTCCTGGGAGAAAAAGAAACCTATAGTTTTTGTCTTTAAAACAGAAAGATCATAGAATGGTTGAGAGGGTCCTTCAAGACCACCCAGTTCCTCCCCCTGCCATGGGCAGGGACACCTTCCACTAGCCCAGGTTGCTCCAAGTCCTGTCCAACCTGGCCTTGGACACTTCCAGGGATGAGGTAGCCACAGCTTCACTGGGCAGCCTGGGCCAGGGCCTCCCCACCCTCACAGGGGAGAATTCCTTCCCAATATCTCATCTAAAGCACTGGCACTATTGTAGTTTGCTCATGAGAACGTGAGAACTCCCAAGACCACCAAGGTATATCCGTGATGCCAGAGATGCTGCAGTGCTGTAACCCCAGGGTAGAACACACAGGCTCCTGGGTGCAGTGAACTCCTGCCTGGATCAGTTACACAGTTTGAATATGAGCCTCACTGGTAAAGAGGTTTCAAAACTCCTCCAGCTGAGAATTGAGGTTGGGGCAATCACTGAGTTTTCCAAGCCCTCCGGCTGCAGGCAGGCTGGAGATAGCACAGCAGGTCTATGACTGGCTACCAAAATCCTTTCTTTTCTTGCCATGGAAAAGGAAAACAAAAAAGAACACAACCATCCCCTTAAATTCTCTAAATTAAACCCTATTAACCTATTGCTTTCAAAGGTCAGAGAAGGAGGGGAGGGAGGATTCCCTGGCATTCTGTACTCAGCTAGCAGAAAAGCTGAGGCTGGACATAGCTCCTGTACAGGGGAAGAGCCTGCTAGGCTGCTGCATTCACAGCGTGCAGCTGCTGGGATGAAATGGAATTCACATTGAAATGCATCCAAAAAAAAGGACACAGACATTCACAGAGAGCTGGGAAGGTAAATTTATTTGAAAGACATGACCTACCTCTTTGTAATCGCCCTTGAGATAAAGATGACTGACATGTTCAAGCAAATAGTTCCGGTCTGCTGTGTGGAGCTGGTAAATGCTGATCAGGGGGTCAAGCAGATTAGCTGGGCACTGGGAGAGGATTCTGAGCACACGGGCCTGCAGCTTCTTCAGCTGGATGCCAGACTTGAAAAAACCAAAAAAAAAAATCAAACATGGGTTTAGTAAAGATGGCTGAGATTCAACAGCAGTGGGAAATGCAGCTTGTTTAAACAGAATAAGCCAATTCCTTTGGAAGGGATTCTCCAATTTCCCCACGGAGTCTGCAAGCACAAATCAGAACAATATGATACACGTTATTTTCACAGCATCCAATTCAAAAACATGAAGAGTTTGCGGGATAATTCTGGAGAAGGGATAATATGGCCTTGTGCAAATGTAAAATCTGAAACTGGAAAAATGCTCTCTGAACTAGCACAGCTCTTCAGAAATTCTCCTCTCTAGTTCTCAGCAGAAAATCTTTGAATCCAGAGACGCCCCTCCAGGGAGATCTCACCTGTCAGGCATAAGAATTCCATTTCACACTCCCAGGCTTGCTCCTGGGTGCAAGAAGGGCAGGAAAAGCAAAAGCACCATCAAAAGATGCACAGACAAAGGTATTAATCCTTGTGTTTCCCACATGATCATTCATGACACAACAATTTCCCACACTCGTGACTCAGGAATTTCAGTGGCAGTAGCACTTTGCTGCACTTTGCAGATCCTGTAATGGCAGAGCTCAACATCTAACCAGAGCCATTTGGAAAAATGTGAAAGGAAGCAACACAAATATAAAAGTATCCTGCAGTTCAGAGCCAACAGCTTATAGGAAAGAGAAAATCTCTTTTCCGTATAGGTCAGAATATGTAAAGGCAGAAGGAATGGTAAACATTAGGAAGTATAATCTGATGACCTAACATTACAGAACTAATCATTCGGCTGCTGAAAAGGCAGACTGTTCCCATTTTCTGCATTCCCACCATATGGCAGGAGTTAAGCAATCCTACAGTAACTGGCTTCTATTTGCAGAGTTGGAAGAACACACAGAGCAGATTACTGCAACTGGGTTTATCCTGACAGCAGGGATGTGAGTTCCAGTGGGAGAGCCTCCAGCCTGGAAAGGCTGCAAGATCAACGCTCCATCGAAGTGGTTTGATCTGGAAAGCTGGAAAGCCCAACTTGGGAAGGGAAACAGAGCTCTGGCATCACAGCTTCCAATATGATTTCATTTTCAGACCAGCATGCCACAGACAACAACATCTCAGTAAGAGTTTCACACCTTGTCACACTGTGTATAAGGCTACAGAGAAGATGCTGGACTATGGAATAAAGTGAAAGTGGAGATACTTGAGGCACATTAAAATCAGTCCCTCTCTCCCAACTCTCTTCTAACCTGTGGAACAGCAGGATGCTCTTTTATCCAAAGCTGCAGCTCTGTGGTGATGTAATACCCCAGGGAATGCCCTTTCCCCTTCCAATCACTGCTGTTCTCCAGCATGGCCAGGAGTCCTGCCAAAGGGTCCTCCAGTCCGGCAAAGCCCCGCCTGACTTCTTCCTTGAGCTGCTGAGATACAAAACCACATTGTCACGTACAAAAAGATTAGTGAATCCTCCCTTCCCCCAGCTGAACACAAAGCTTTATTTTTTTAAATTTAATCTATTCAGAGAGGTAACTGTTGCTATTCAGCCACCATCCGCGCCTCCAGTGACTTTTCATGTCATTACAGATTCCTTCATGGCTCACTGCACCTCAAACCCAATGGGAAAAGCAGCAATTGTCCACACTAATTATCCCATAAAGACAGAGAAGTTGTTCTGTGGGGCAGACAAAGGGGCTTGGGATTTGGGGGAGGGGGAGAAAAGAAGAGAGCTGGAGAGAGGGGTGTTATTAGGAAAACGGCAATACCGAAGGTAGAGAATTGGGTTCAAAAACCTGCTCATCTAACAGACTTACACGAGCACAGTGTATGAACCTCCTCATTCCTGCACCACAAACTTGCCCATTTGACCTTATCCCCACTTCAGCCACAATGGCTCCTCAGCATAACTGGAATATTTGGGAATCTTAAAATAATTTGGATTTTGCACACAGGGTCAAAATGAATGAAATATCTGAGTTCAAACTCTGTCAGACTGCCATTCTCCAAATCTGTGCTCCTGTCCCCAAACCTCCCTGAGCAGGGTATTCTCTGCTGACCACCTACAGCCCCTGCATGTCAGGCATCGCACACCTCCGAGAGACTAAAGGCCCTGCAAAGGGGCTTGGAACATGGGAAAACTCCATGCCATAAATCTTAGGAATCCCAGGGTGATGTGTTTAGAAATGTGAAGGAATTGGACCCTCACTTTGTGAATGTTAATAGGCTACTTACTACCCATCTGGTAGAAGTGATAAATTAGCAGTACTGAGCAATATCTCTATAATGTTTACATTAGAAGTAGTTTCCAAGGAGCTGGGAGGGTTGGCAGGGTGAGGAAGTGGCATCCTCAGTACCCACACAGGACCTCTCACTGCATGGTACATGCACCAGCGTGGAGCAGGGCAAAGGCAGAGACAGAAGACAAGAAATGACTGAGAGCAGCTGCTCTCTTTCTTTTCTGGCTAAAAAGCCAAATCCAAAAGATGCTCATTCCTGCTGCAGCCAGCACTTGTAATTTACTGTATATCATGGCCCCAGTCAGAGCTTCCAATGGAAACAACATAAAGTTTGAAGAACGACATGGAAAACAAAAGAAAATCTACAGAAAATCTGCCAATGAATTTGTTCTTTTTTATTCATCGACAATATTTACTGGAAGACAGTCATTTTCCAGAGTGTCTTTCATGTCTGGAAAAACCACAGAACCTATCGTTTACAACAGAAACTGTTTCTTTCTCACTAGACTATCAAAGGCAGCATGAAAAAGCTGATGACTAACAAAGATGTGACTTCAGATAAGAGATTTCTCCCTGCAAGTAATTTTCCCTGTGGCAAGAGTTCGCTTCAACTTCACTGGGAGATGCAGCAGAAGGCAAAGCCGAGCTCTTATCCAACCACAAACATCCAATACAACAGCCAAAGGAAAACAAAGCAACTTGCCAACTCAATTGCACTGCTTAGAAACGGCTTTTTTCCCCCCAAAGCCCCACTTCAGCACATTCAGAGCTTCCACCACACTGCTCAACTCCTCCTTGGGCTGGAGTCCGAGCCTGGGCTTTGGCGGGCTGGGTTCCAGCAGACACCAGGTCCTGCTGGCACGGGCAGAGCAGCTCCCAGCACTGACCCCGCTGCCAGCAGCATGAACTGCGCTCATCCGGACTGAATCTGGCCTTGGTACCAGCCAGGCCACGACAAGCTGGGAAAAAGCCTCCCTGCAGCCCTCGGAGCAAGCTGAAGCCTTCAACCATGAGGTGTGGAGTCTGAGGGGGAAAAGCAAAACCAGAAAGGGCATGAGACACCTGAATCAGAGAGGAAAGAGTGCTGTGCTCCCTGGCTCATCCCCCTGCCAGAGAAGGATTCCTCTCAGACATAACTGCCATTTCCATTTCAATTGATTCCCATGGCAGGGAATGCTCCTTGGGGGATTTCTACAGCCTGACAGATCATGGGAATAGGAAAATGCTGCTGATGCTCAAACTACACACTTCTTCATTCAGCTTTGGTCCCTTATTTCCAGTCACACAGCTCCAGGCAGTCTGTGGATGCTTCCTGGTTATTCCAGAACCGTCTTTCCTATGTAGAAAATGACCATTTCTTATACCCACGTTCCAGAACTGAGGTCATGCCATGGCAGACACTCTCCTGCCCATGGTCACTGATTTGAGACCAAGGGCTGATTCTCCCAAGTTCACAGACAATATTCACTTACAGGCACACACAGTAAGAGGCAAAGAAGCTCCTGCCATTTTCCTGGCAGTGGAGCAGACTGAGCTGTATTTAAACAAACTTCCCTCAGTTATTTGGGGTGGCAGCAGCAGCACAACACTCCTGAGCCGCACAGAGAGGGCAGGGCAGCCCTGCCCCTTAAGAGTCCACACTTGCTGTGGGTGCATGACCCTAGGCAGGGATCAGCCCATCTCAGTCACAGCGTGACCAGCACATGTCAGAACCCACTGGGACATTCCTGCTGAGCTTCCCTCACCAGCTGGTCCCACCACAGGCCTCCTCATCGCTCCAAAAAGGGTTCATTGGGGGTCAGAAATGCACCCTCCAGGTGGAGAAACACACTCCTGCCTGTACCAGCACCCCCACAGCACTGCCTGGAGGGGGACCTGCAAACCCCACTGGGGAGCTGCAGCCTGCATGTCCTGCAATGCTGCATCCCACTGGAATGACCAACACAAGAAAGACGTGGACCTGTTGGAATGAATCTAGAGGAGGCCACTAAGTTGGTCAGGAGGCTGGAGCCCCTCTGCTCTGGAACCAGGTTGGAAGAGTAGGGGGTGTTCACCTGGAGAAGAGAATGATCCAGGGAGACCTCAGAGCCCCTTCCAGTGCCTAATGGGGCTCCAAGAGAGTTGGAGAGGGACCTGGGACAAGGGATGGAGGGACAGGACAACAAGGAATGGCTTCCCACTGCCAGAGGGCAGGGTTAGATGGGATATTGGGAAGGAATTGTTGGCTGTGAGGGTGGTCAGGCCCTGGCACAGGTTGCCCAGAGAAGCTGTGGCTGCCCCATCCCTGGAAGTGTCCAAGGCCAGGTTGGACAGGGCTTGGAGCAACCTGGGTTAGTGGAAGGTGTCCCTGCCCATGGCAGGGGGGCAGGATGAGATGAGCTTTAAGGTCCCTTCCAACCCAAACCAGTCTGGGATTCTGTCATTCTGTGACCATTACAGAAACAAACCAACTGAACACATGGAGCTGCAAGTGTGAGTCCTGGGGATCCTCCAGTTTTTCCACCTCCTGCAGGAATACTCTGGTGTTTTCTGGCCAACGACACGTCCATGGGAGGCTTTGTCATTTCCAGAGTATTCTTCTTCCCAATCCACACACAGATCCCAGGGTACCCAGTGCAAAGAATTTTGATGATTACCCTTTCCTACTGTTGTTTTGTGGGATTAACTGACCTCAAGACCTAAAGGATAATATTTTTTTTCCTCCAACTGTAACAAAACTTGATGGAAAGCTCAAGGTTTTAGAGTTGCTGAGCTCAAATCTCCCTTGGTGAGTGACCATTTGGAAAGGCACCTCTCACACTGGGTTTCCAGTAGTTTAGTAATTCCAGCTGGGGACCACAGACTATCAGTAATGGAAAGTCTAAGTGCAGCAGACAAGGACAATGACTAAACACTCCAGACACCCAGGATGGAGCACGTACACCAGGTCCTCAGCCATGCTGGCCATTCCACACAGGACACATTCCACGTGGGGAGATGCAGGGTCCTGGGTCTTTTAGAAAAGAAACCATCTCAGCTGTGAACCTGCCTGAACAGTGGAGAGTTAAACATGGGAAACCCACCACTCAGCCAATTCATCTACTGGTTTTGTTAGTTTTCAAGCTCCAAGATTTAGATTAAATATATTTTACTGCCTAAGAGAAATCTCCATGTAGAGCCCATAGGTTGCTGTATAAAAATACTGCGCTAATTTTAGCCAAGCAGTGTAAATTCACCACTCTAAAAGGCAAAGACAAACCAAATCAGAAAAAAAAACTTTGAATAGGAAAGCTTTGATATCATTCCACTTGGCAAAGAGCACTTCTCTACTGACTTCAACCCTCATTTTTTTCAGCTACTAGAAGTATTCTTCCCCCTCCCCAAAGATCCTCCATTTAATGGACAAAAAAGTGTTTAAAACAAAACAAAAGCAACTTTGATTTTTTTCCCTCTGTAACTCAGCCCTGTAAACTCCAGCTCTTTTATAGGAGCCCCTGAGTTGCTCCACATCACACAGAGTACCTTTTCTTTTCACTTGTAGCTGCAAATGCACAGGCTCTTCCCCTGTGTGCTGGAATGAAAGAGTAGTGAAGGATTGCGGGTCTGACCTGTGCCTGGACATGCTCTGCATGCCACCGAGGGGGCTCAGCCTTACCTTCCTCTGCTCTTGCTTTGTCCAGAGAAGCTGAAGGGTTTTCAGCAATAGGAGTGGGTCCTGGCCTGGAGGAGGGGGAAGAGAGAGAGAAAAGGAGGGAGAAAAACAAAACAAAACAGATTTATTGGCTCTGTAAAGGCAGCCCAGACACACTGGGGCATTGTTTCACCCGAGAGAAATCAGCTACTCCGTGCACTGTGCTGGAAACCACCAACCTTCCAACTGCCAGTCAGGATTAGAGTGCTAAACCCCTGCACTCCAAACCCCAGCCGACTCACAGCCACCACCCATGCACGGCTTTAACTCAGCACCCCCAGCTCCAACACTGCAGAGCTGTGCTGGTGCAGTCACAGCTCAGTCCTGCTGCTGCTCCTCACCCCGTCCACCCCCACCCCCTTTTCACACGAAACACAACGGTCCTGGAAGAGAGAACACCTTGCACAGGTCGGGAAGGGTGATGAGCACACAGATTTTTAGGGAATGGCTCTGAAGTGTAACCTCATGGCAACCTGGGGGTGGAGGAGGGAGTGGGTGAATTTGGGTGCTGGAGGGGAGAGTCTGTCCTTGACAGGCTGGACTGGACACAGGCTGAGGGATCTGGGCAAAGTGGTGTCTGAGGAAGAGGGAAGATGAAATGCTGCTGTGATTAGTGGCAATGCTAAACAAAGAGGGATCCAATATTTCGAAAGAAGGTTATTTGGAATTTTCCTCTTACTTTTCACCTAGTTATTGTAGAACTTGAAGTCAGTTGTTCTTTTGTGTCTATTATCATTCATCATACTGTTACTCATCATGCCAGTATTTCTGAACCAATTTTTTAGGAATAACTCATTTTAAAAGCAGTAACATGTTTGATATTTGATTCTATTTAATGCACAATCATTTTCTTATGAAACCATGACTCAGAATATTCTGAATGAAAATCGTCTATGGCATGAACAGTTTAAATGTGAAGAATGACTTTAAAAATCTGAATAAGCTCTCCAAAACCACTCCTTCTCGTGTACCTCTTCTTATGTTTTCACACAGCCAAAAGAAAATGTTAAACTGAAAAGGAAGCATTCTTTCAATCACCTTTTGTGTTTTACAATTCCTAAAGAGCTCATTTCCAAATGCCAGATTTCATGCTCAGTATCCCATCACACTTCATATTTCAGGTCACAAAAAACTTCCTCAGCTGTGAAACGCTCTACCTCATCCAACTGAACTCTGAGGCACTGCATTTATAAAATATTTGAAGTAGCAAGCTGATTACTGGTTGAGCCAAGAGCATGATAATATTCCCATTATCCACTAACCTCTGGGAAACACCAGCCAAATTAAAAATGCCACATTTACAATTCATAAGATAATATTTTCTTTCATCTCTGGTTGTTCTGAAATGTTGAACTCTCCAAACACTGGCAGTTCTCAGCTACTGCTCCTCCTCTGGAAAAAGAAAAGGCTCTTTTTACACCAGAACAGAAGAAAAGCCAGATCCCTACTCCCCACTAAATTAGCAAATTACAGTCAAATTCAACCCATGTGTGTGTGCATATCTGCACACTCTCCTTTTGGCCTAACTCCCAAAGAAATTTATACACACACAGGAAAAAAAAACTAGAATGCAATGCAGTGTGTAACCAAATACACTGTAAATCTGAGCTGTAATTAATGCAGGGAACAAGCTGGAATGATACAGGAAATGAGAGCAGTTAAGGAGAGCAGTGTTTCACTTCAGATACAGCCAATAATTCAACTTGTTAAAAAGCTTTCTAAACCTCAATCAACAAACCCAGCCCTTTTCTTACTGACTTTTTCCTGCCTTACCTCCCTGCAACTGAAACCCAAACTCACTGGTCTGAGACACACAGACTGATGGAAACGTCTCTCCAGTCAATTTTAACCAGCTCAGTGTGGTGCCAACACGGCCCTGAGCAGGCACAGGTACATGGGGCACCTTCCCCTCCCCAAACCCTGGCACTGAATGCACCCAGTACTCAGTTATTTCCACAGACCCCACCTGGAGCACTGTCCAGCTCCAGGGTGCTCAGCACAGGAAGGACATGAACCTGTTGGAGCAAGTCCAGAGGAGGCCCCAGAGATGCTCCAAGGGCTGGAGCCCCTCTGCTCTGGAGCCAGGCTGGAAGGGCTGGGGGGGTTCACCTGGAGAAGAGAAGGTTCCAGGGAGACCTGAGAGCCCCTTGCAGGGCCTAAAGGGGCTCCAGGAGAGCTGGAGAGGGACTTGGGACAAGGGATGGAGGGACAGGACAAGGGGGAATGGCTTCCCACTGCCAGAGGGCAGGGGTTGAACGAGAGAAACTCTGAGAAATCACCTGCTGGTGACCAAACAGGGCTGCTCCTTTCCTTACCTGGTAAGGCTTGTAAGGATCTAAGGATGAAATATAGTCAGAGGCTAAACATAACAGAATAACCCACATGCAGCAGCTCCCAGAGCCAAACATGAACGGGACAGCAAAGCCACATCATGCCATTGTCTAATCCCACCAGAGAGGAGGGATGCTGCAGTTCATGCTGGATTTTGAGCTATTGCATCCAGTTACTCTCCAGCTGAGACAGAAGATGGAAATGTGAAGGTTCACATAATTTTGTCTCCTGAAAGAAATGAACAATTCATTTGTTCTGTGTCCTGCAGAACCTCTTTGGAGGACTGGCCTCCTCATGGTTCTCCTGGCACCCATAAACAAAAAATTAGTGTCTTTGGCATTGATGAAGAATTAATAACTACTGCTATATTCCCACTGGAATACCAGACAGGTTCCTGCTCATCCACATCACAGAAGGAAGCAGCAGTAAACTAATGCCGGGATATCCAAGGAAAAACAACAGGACCTTACAGGGAATTTCATAAGCCTTCCAGACAAATCTGGAGAGCAGACAACTGCTCCAGACACAAAAGAGTGAGGAAAAAATACAAGGGAAGGAGGAATAAAGCAAAGAGACTGAAAACCAAGTGGTCAGAACTGAACCACAAGTGCACTTGGGCTTGGCTCAGGACAAGAACAAGGCAAGGATGGGGCATGGCCAGAAAAACACCTTCATATGCTCCACCAAGAACACCCAGAATAGCCACTGCTGAAGAGAAGTTAAATCCTGCAGAGATTCCTACATCCTGAAGAGATATCCAGCTATTAGCAAGGGACATTCAATGAGCAAAATAAACAAAACACGGATGTAAACCAGCAAAAAACCCCAATGTGGCAAGTCAGAGAGATGAGCTGTCCCTGCTCCAGCTGTGAGCAGCAGGGCTGGCTGGGTCCACCACTGCAGCAGCCGAGACGTGTCCGAGGCAACTGAGCCCACCCCGTTCCTAGACCAAGCTCCAGAGAGAGTACTCAGTCTGACACTGATCCTTCCCTTCACAGCTCCAAAAAAGGGGGTTGCAGACCATAAAACACCTGGCAAAGCCTCACCAAAACAAGGTTAAAGAATGTTAGTGGAGATCTCAAAAAGACACATCTGTGCCCACTCCATCAAGACACAAATAACTTTGAGTTTTTCCTCTGAGAGTTTCTCCCAATAGCATGTTCCTGTTTTAAACATTTTGACATTAACATATTTCCTCTCAACATTTTTCATTCTGAAAATAAATGAGCTCTGCCCTGAATCTGGTACCAAAATTGGAGGAGCTGGTAAATCAAATGTCTTCCAGTTCTCAAGATCTGTGGTTACATTTCAAAACCATATAAACCACAAGGCTTATATTTCTGAGTTAGAAAAGTGCCTTTGAGGAAAACCATAAAGTACTTTCTGTTCATTCTCTCCTTTTCCTTTGTGCATCCATCACCCAGACCCTGCTGTGATCACAACAAAAGCGGTGCTCACGGGCTGGTAAGGTAGCACTGGGTTTGCTGGTGAGGTTTGCAGGACATCCTTGCAAAATTCTGCTGCTTTACCACCAGTGCTGCTGAAATGGCCTGGCAAGAGAACCCCATGTTCTGACTGAGGCTCCTCGTGTCTCTCACCTGAGGCAAGTGAGGCATCCAACCCCAGAGGAGGAATTTCCCAAGGAAAAAACTCCTGAGACTTTCTCTTTGTGTCCAAAGCCATTAAATGCCCCCAGATGTTGAGATCTGGAAGAATTACAGTCAGCAAAAGAAAAGATACAGAATGAAAACAAAAGCAACCCCCAAAAATAAGGCTCAAGTGACTAAAATGCAGTATCACAGCCCCCAAACTGTCACTTACAGCTGAAAGTCATGGACAGGAAAGGTCAAGAACAAAAAGCTAATTACAGAATCACAGAATCATAGAATCTTCTGGGTTGGAAGGGACCCACGAGGATCATCCAGTCCAACTCCTGGCCCTGCACAGACACCTCAACGCTCCCCCCTGTCCCTCAGAGCATTGTCCAAACCCTCCTGGAGCTCTGGCAGCCTTGGGGCCGTGCCCACTGCCCTGGGGAGCCTGGTCAGTGCCAACCACCCTCTGGGGGAAGAACCTTTCCCTGAGATCCAACCTGACCCTGCCCTGACACAGCTCCAGCCGTTCTGTGGGGTCCTGTCCCTGCTCACAGGGAGCACAGATCAGAGCTGCCCCTACAATGATTATGTTTTCTTTAGGCAGCCAGATTACACCTCTGCCCTGCAAGTTAGTGGGATTTTAATAAATGTTTAATGAAATATCCAACAAATCCAACCCACCCAGTAAACAATCAGTGAATTTTTACTATTACTTATTGCCTTGTATGCCCTCTGCCCCAATAAATCCCTGAGATATGTTCTCTGTGAAAACTCCTGTTCATCTCTGATATATCTGAGATATTTTTCAGAAAGGAAAACAAAAATTTGAGACATTTCTGCGTCCCCCCCCAAGGGCAGCCAGACCGTTTGGACTTAAAAAGTCCAATATATCAGTGTACAGGCAATGCACAAGCTGAGAGTTTGGGTGAGCAGAGTCCTTCAGCCAGCTCGTGTTCCAGCAGCACGATGGGTGCACCCACACTGTGCCCATTAAATTACAGCTGGCAACCAACAAATACTGTGCTATGTAAGAACCAATCAAAGTTTCTGATCAAAACCTACTCTGTCTCAATTTTGTTCAGAAGTGGCTGCAGCTCACAAGT